GCAGCCGGCCCCCGGCCCCTCCAAGGGCCCCTCCGAGCCGCCTCCGGTGCAGCTGGAACTAGAAGGTAGGCGTCCCGGGCCGGGGGCGAACCAGGGCGTGCCGCGGTGCCCGGGCCTGGACCTGCCTTCGCGACTCTGGGGTGAGGGGCCCAGAGATGATCCAGAGGATCCGATGAGCCGAAGGACCGGGGAAGCGCTGACTCGGGCACGAAACCCGGCGTCTCCCTCCGCTCAGAGGAGCTCGGAGTTTGGCGAGAGGACGAGGTGGTGCCCTGCGTCCCCTGCGTCCCCTGCGTCCCCTGCGTCCCCTCGTCCCCGATGCGCTTTCGGCCCAGCCTGTCCACTCAGCATCAGGCTGGTACTCCTGTGTTCAGGCATGCTTTGTACGAGTATCCCTGCAGTGTGTCAGGTGGTGGAAAGGTGCTGTCGACGGAAAAATAACCAGCTCTAAAAAAATCAATTATTAATCATTGATGCGGTTTATTTCCAAGCAATTATATGCATACAGACGAGTAAGAAAGCTGGTGGTCCCTGCGTTGCCGTGACTTGGAGCCGGTGCTCCACTTGGTGACAGGGACACCCCGTGGGACCCGTGCTGTCACCACTGTGCCCTTTCTTTTTCCCTTTGCTCCTCTGTTCACTTGCGAGCTGCAGACTGGGGACAGGTGAGCTAGCTTGCTTGCTTCTAGTCTTCGCGTTCGTCTTTGCTGGGGTCAGCCTCTCCGACACCGGGCAGCGTGAGACAGACATACGGAGCCCAGTGGCGCTGATTCGGTGCTGGACCCCACTTGGCCGACCGCATTTTGAAGCCTGGACGGGGGGCGGGGGGGCGGGCTTGAACAAACACACTGGGCGTGTGCGTGTGCATTCTCAAAATCTTGAGAGGAGGATGGAGAAAGGATTGTGGTATGGTCATTCCCCTTGAGGGGGTGCTTTCTCTCGCCTGCTTCTCTCTAGTGAGCACACACACATTATAGCAAACTTTAAAAAAGAGAAAGGGGAAGAAAATGAAAAGAAATACAAACTGAGCAGTGAATAAGAGAATTAGATGCTGCCCCGACGGGGACTGGAGCGGGAACCCCAGCCTCAGGGGCGAGGCAGTACATGTGCTCCCCGTCCCTCCTCGCCAAGCTGCTGCAGCAGGTGGCCCGGGGAGCAAGGTGGTGACCACGTTCTCCCGAAGTGGCCTGTGACGTGCTCACAGGCTGTCACGGTAGAGGCAGAACAGCAGGGGCGGAGTCCACGGGACCCCCTAAGAGAGGGTGGTGGGATGACTGAGAACTGACCCCGTGTTGCTGTGAGCTCCCCAGTGGGCCCCGGGGCTACAAGGGTTGGGTCAGCAGCCGCGGAGGAGGGCTGCAATCTGCCTGTGGGGCCGTGGCTGAGGCGACCATGTCTGTCCAGACAAAGGCACATTGAAGGGTGTCGATGCAAGCAACGCGCTTGTCCTGCCGGGGAAGAAGAAAAAGAAGACCAAAGCCCCTCCCCTGTCGAAGAAGGAGAAGAAGCCTCTGACCAGGAAGCAGAGGAAAGTGCTGCAGAGAGTCCTGGAGCAGAAGGAGAAGAAGAGCCAGGTACGCCGTGCTCCGGCAGCGACCGCGGTGGCTTTCCGAGCGGGAGGGGGCGGCGACTGTCCCCACGGCGTCCTCTCTGCAGCAGGACCATCTGGTAGGACTTTCCGGGACGAGGGGAGTGTTCAGCCCCTCCTCAGCCCCGCTGGCCCCGTGTGGCTTTGCACCTTGAAGTATGACGGGTGTACCTCTGGGACCGAGCGCGATGTGGTCCAGTTTTCTTTTGTTTTCTCTCTCTCTCTTTTTTTTTTTTTAGATTTTTGCTATAGGGTGCGTGCGCTCTCCAGAGAGACAGAAAGTGAGACTTCATCCCCCCAGTGGGATGGCCACGCCACAATCCCTTCTCCTCCACTCTCCTCTCGGGATTTTGGGCACATACGCACACGTGCCCGGCATGAGTTTTAAGCCACCGGGTCCGAGACTTGAACCGCGGTCAAGTATGTGGGAGTCCAGCGACACAGCCATCACACCATCTGCTGGTCCCGCAGTTTTCATTTCTAATTCAAGCCACCAGTCGTGTGGCTTGCAGTCCCTTTGCTGGACACACAGCATTAGGACCTTCAAACCGCTGGGGCCCACTGCCTGGGGGGCCCACTGCCTGGGTCTCCATCGTTCTGGTACCTGTCCCGGTGCACTGGCCAGATGCGTGCTTCTTGGGGAATCTTTCAAGGATTGGCATGCCTTTTTTTTTTTTTTTAAGAGAGATTTTTTTTTTGCTACAGGGCGCGTGTGCTCATCGGAGAGACAGAGACAAGAGAGACAGAAAGTGAGAAATCATCCCCCAAGGGAAATGACCACCCCACAATCCCTTCTCCATTCTCCTCTTGGAATTTTGGGCACGCACACACATGCACCTGGTGTGAGTTTCAAGCCACCAGGCCTGGGACTCGAACTGCGGTTGACTAAGTGGGAGTTCGGCGACATAACCATCATGCCATCTCCTGGTCCAAGTATGCCTTTTTTTTTCTTTTAAATCATTTTGGGGACCAGCAGATGGTGTAGCGGTTATGTTGCTGGACTCCCATGTGGCCAACCATGGTTTGAATCCTAGACATGGTGGCTTTAAAAATCACTACAGGCGTGTGTGTGTGGACGCCCAAGGTCCCAGGAGCAGAATGGAGAAGGGATTGCAGCATGGCCATTGCTCCCCGTGGAGGTGATTTCTCACTTTCCCTCTCACTGTCTCTATCTGTCTCTCTGGCAAGCTCATGTGCCCTAAGGCAAAGCCTCTTAAAAATATATCATTTTGTGTTAATTTTTAACTATATTTTAAAGAATTTTGAACTTTAAAAAAAAACTACATATTTAATTGTATTATTATTAAATTTGCTATAGGGCACGTGTGTTCATTCTGCAGAGAGTTCAAGAGGAAAGCGAGATAGCGAGCCAGCAGGTCCAGTACTCGAATCATAGTTGGCCGTGTGGGTGTCCAACTTTTTTTTCACATACCAGTGAGAGAGAGGGAATGCAACAAAGCACCCTCCATGGGACATGGTCATGCCACTTTCCCTCAGTTTCGCCTCCCCTCGGGACTTTGAGCACGCCCACATACACAGTGTGTTTTTCCAGCTGCTGGGCCAGGATTTGAACAGTGATCAGCTGAGTGGGATCTGGCTTCCAACACACACCACCCAGCCGCTGCGAGGCCAGCCCCGACCTTTTCTCTAGAGCCCCACCTCCTCTCTGGAGGAAGGGCAGGTCTGCCAAGAGCCTGACGCCCTTGTCTTCTTCCCAGCGAGCAGAGATGCTGCAGAAGCTCAGCGAGGTCCAGGTCTCTGAGGCCGAGATGAGGCTGTTTTACACCACTTCCAAGCTGGGCACTGGGGACCGCATGTACCAGAGCAGAGAGTAAGTTGGCGGGCCCCTTGCTGAAGCCCTCGCTCCTGCAGGATCCTGGGGCAGTGCAGGCATGGGGTGTCCCGGGTGCCAGGAGCAGGGCCCGGCCTGAGTGGCTGGCAGTCCCTGTGCTAGATGCCCTCGCAGAGGACTCAGGTGCCTCCAGGCACCCACAGTGAGGTCGGGCTGTGACCTTGGGGACCTTGGGGTGACACTGTCCAATCAGCACACCCTTCTCTTCACATGATTGCCAGAGGGCATGTGTGCTGGTCAGAGAGACAGGGACAGACAGGCGCGCTCAGCAGGGCGTGGCCACGCCGCAGCCCCGTCTCCTGCATCACTCCATCCAGTCGGAATTTAGGGCAGGCGTGAACACGTGCCCAGCATGTTTTTCCAGCCACTGGGGCCATGTAGAATTTGGCACTCGTAACCACTAGTCCACCAGGCCAGCCCCCCAGTACAGCCGACACTGAAGACTTAGGGCATTTCACATTAAAATCCAGGTTCCCACCTACTCCCGACTGTCACTTAGGGCCGAGCCTGCGTTACCTCCGTCCGTCCTCGTCGGCACTGGCCTGTCTCTGCGAGCATCCCTGTCCTGTAGCCCCTCCCTGTTGAGTGTAGACGTGTTCCAGCCTGTCCTCTAGGCCCTGGGGGCAGAGCAGGGCCCGGAAACCGAGCCCCCTTCTTAAGGAGCTTGCAGCCTGAGCGCGAGGAGCAAGCGGTCGTCACGCAAGCACCCGTGCTAGCGTCGGCGACCCCGTGAGCGCAGAGCCGGAAACTGCGGGCAGAGCCGTGTGGGGAGGTGGGAGAGGCATGTGGGCCGCGCGCTCAGGGCAGTGAGGGAGGAGTTGCCAGGGTCGTGTGCGGAGGCCCATGGAAGAGGTGCAGTCTCTGGGTCCTGCGCTCCTGGACGTGGTTGGCAGCCCAGAGCTGCTGCGGATGTCCCGGGGCCTCCATGCCGACAGCCCTGCTCTCCCAGCAGGAAGCCTGACGAGGCAGAAGCCCGGGGCCCGGGGAGGGTCAGCAGCCTCAGTGGGGCCCACCGCAAACGCCGCCGCAGCTCGTCCACAGGGGAGTCTGAGCCTGACACAGACGTGGCCTCCGAGCAGGCTGAGGCCAGCACAGGGACCATGGCCACGTGTGCGCTGCCGACTCCCCTGGGGCCCGGGGACGAGAGCCCAGCGCCCAGCAGTCAGCCCACGCTGGCTGTAACTCCCACTCCCTCGCCTCCCGCAGCAGCCGCCACCCTGGCCAAGCCCCCGGCAAGGCCCGCCGTGTTTGTCCCCGTAACCGCTCCCCGGAGATGCAGGTTTGCAGCCTCGGGTTTATGGTTAAGAATGAGTGGGCGGGGCCAGCGGGTGTTGTGGTGGCTAAGGGGATGGACTCCCATGTGGCCAACTACAGTTCGAGTCTCACCAGGCACGTGTACACATATGCCCCAAATTCTGAGAGGAGAACGGAAGAGAAGGGATCGCAGTGTGGCCATTCCCCACGGACAGTGCCCTCTCTCTGTCTCTCTCTCTTTTTTCTCTCTCCCTGGTGAGCACATGCGACCTTGTCCTCTAGCCCATTAAAAAATGAAATAGAGGAGGGACCAGCGGGTGGCGTGGTGGTTAAGGTGCTGGACACTCCAACATGGCCAACCACAGTTTGAGTCCTGGACCTGGTGGCTTGATTTCCCGCCATCTTTCTCTCTCTCTCTCTCTCTCTCTCTCTCTCTCTCTCTCTCTCTCTCTCTCTCTCTCTCTCTCTCTCTCTCTCTCTCTCTCTCTCCCTCTGGTCAAATTAAAATAAATGAATGAATAAACAAAAATTATTTAAAAAAATGAAATAGAGCTGCTGGCAGGTGGTTAAGTAAACTGGACTCCCACATGGCCCACTGTGGTTCGAGTCCCAAACCTGGCAGCTTGCTTTCTCTCTCTCTCTCTCCCTCTCTGGTCAAATTAAAATAAATAAATACAGTTAAATAAAACAATTCTTTAAAAAGTGAAATAGAAATATAGCAGAATAAAGAATATTAGCTCACTAGCTTTGTGCATAGGGTGGCAATGCTTTAAGAAAGTCTTCTTCAGAATGCTATGCATGCGTACATGCATGCACGTGTGTGCGCTGAGAGTCACGGTAGAAAGCGTGTTTCTCCCCGTGGGTTATGGGAAGGAAATGTGGGAGGGCCGCCCGGAGCAGGTGCCTGGGAGAGCCGTCGCCAGGCCGCAGTCCCTGCCTTAGGTAAGATTAGCACCGGGTCAGTACCAGCTTTTGCGGTCTATAGATAGTACATGTCTGTGAGAGGAGGGAGAGGGGCACCCGTACAGCGTCCGGGCACACCACGGTCCCTGCCCAGCCTCCAGCCCTCCCAGCAGGAGGGCTTCCCCGGGCCCGGGCTTCTGCCTCGTCAGGCTTCCTGCTGGAGTGTGGTCCTTTCACGGTCACTTCCCTGTTTTTCCCTCCTTTGGGATTTTGGGCATGTACGTGCACCTGGCATGTTTTTCAAGCCACAGGGTCCAGGACTCAAGCCGCGTGGTCAGCCATGTGGGATGCAGCCATCTTCCCCACCGTTCCCCCTGCTGGCCCTGGGCTGTGGCTCTCTGTCCCCCCACCAGCCATCAAGGCCCCCATTCGGCCCAGGGCGCGTCTGGGCAGGGTCCCCTGCTCCCCCTGCCCTCCTGCAGCTCCCCTGCCCCAGCTCCCGCGCTGACCCCTCTCTCCTGCCAGCAAGAGCGGCTGAAGCTCCCGATCCTCTCTGAGGAGCAAGCGATCATGGAGGCAGTGGCTGAGCACCCCATCGTCATCGTGTGTGGGGAGACCGGCAGTGGGAAGACCACGCAGGTGCCCCAATTTCTCTACGAAGCTGGCTACAGCAGGTGGGGGCACACACGGGCTTTCTGCTGGGCCTGGGGTCAGGGGAGATGTTCCCCGAAGTCATCAGGAGCCTGGACTCTGGGCACCCTGTCTTCGCTCTGCCCTTACGAGCTGGGTGACCTCAGATAAGCTGCCCAACTTCTCTGCACCCCTTTCCTCCACTGCATGGCTGGGACGGAATAGCGCCCCTCCCGAGGGCTGTGCTGGAGATCGTGAGTGGACTGCTCGGTGCCCACCGCAGGGTGCTGTGTCCGCTGCTGCCCCTGCACACAGCCACCCATTGGCAGCCCTGACCCGCGTGTACCCTTGTGGTTGGGGTTCCTAAGGCCATGCCCAGGTCTGTGTGTCGCTGGGAAGCCCCTGGACTCAGCGTGCACATAACTGACCTCAGGCTGGGGTTCGTGAGATGACAGCACAGCACGGTCAGCTTCAGGGCAGGCCCGGCCAGCACCACTGACCTGTCGCATTCTACCTCCCCAGCGACGGCAGCATCATTGGCGTCACGGAGCCTCGCCGCGTGGCTGCTGTGGCCATGTCCCAGCGAGTGGCCAAGGAGATGAACCTGTCACAGCGGTGAGAGCCCTGCTTCCCATGACAGGACTGGGGTCGGGGTGGTCCTGCGCTCTAGCCTGGCGTCAGCTGTCCAGGAGGGGGCAGGTAGGCGTGGGCTCCTCCGCGCCGAGGGTGTGGATGGAAGTACCCCTCTCTGGGCTCCAGGATCGCTGCACGGGAGCTTCCCCTGTGACAGACAGTGCTCTCGTCACACCCAATGGGCTGAGGGGACAGAAGAGCCAGCACAGGGCCCAGGGCAGAGCAGGGCCAGACACAGGCAGGCCACAGCTAAGTCGGCATTGCCAAGTGCATTTCAACCTCGGGGTTTTTTTTAAGAGAGATTTTTGTCATCGGGCGCATACACTCGCTGGAGAGACAGCAATGAAAAGCAAGAAATCACCCCCCAGTGGGGATGGCCATGCTGCAGTCCCTATTCTCCCATTCTCCTCTTCAGACTTGGGGCGCGCACGCACACATGCCTGGTGTGAGTCTTGAGTCGCCGAGTCTGGGACTTGAACTTCAGTCAGCTCCGTGGGAGTCCAGCCATGTAATCATTTTGCCGTCTGCTGGAAAGTCTTTTAAACAAAGCGAGTGTAGACAGTCCCTGTTACAGTAGCTCCTTGTCAGACTCGGGCCTCACTGCGGTGCGGAAGTAACACACATTCGGTAGAGACCGACTTTGAAGTCTGCACTGGATCCTTGGTACACGGTGTTGGGTGGCTCACCCAGTCTCGGCTCACCCAAGTGCTCTGACCGCACCTAAGACGGGCTGGGCTGAGTGACAGTGTCCGGGAGGCCAGGGGTCAGGGCTTCACGGCTCGAGGTGTTCCCTTGTGCATCAGGCTTCCGGGGAGGCGGCCCCAAGAGGCGAGGAGCTTCCTCAGCCCTGGCTGCGGGCAGCTCAGGTTCAGAAGACCATTGTCTGGCCTGGCCCTGGCCCTGGCCCTGGCCCTGGTGTTCAGGCTGGGAGAGGTGACACGACCATTGTGTCTGGACTGCAGAAGGCACAGCAGGGGCCCCGGAGCGTCCCCTTCTCCCACCTACTCAGCAGATGCCTACTGGCCAGCACCCCCCCTCCCCGGCGGCGGCAGCATCATTGGCGTCACGGAGCCTCGCCGCGTGGCTGCTGTGGCCATGTCCCAGCGAGTGGCCAAGGAGATGAACCTGTCACAGCGGTGAGAGCCCTGCTTCCCATGACAGGACTGGGGTCGGGGTGGTCCTGCGCTCTAGCCTGGCGTCAGCTGTCCAGGAGGGGGCAGGTAGGCGTGGGCTCCTCCGCGCCGAGGGTGTGGATGGAAGTACCCCTCTCTGGGCTCCAGGATCGCTGCACGGGAGCTTCCCCTGTGACAGACAGTGCTCTCGTCACACCCAATGGGCTGAGGGGACAGAAGAGCCAGCACAGGGCCCAGGGCAGAGCAGGGCCAGACACAGGCAGGCCACAGCTAAGTCGGCATTGCCAAGTGCATTTCAACCTCGGGGTTTTTTTTAAGAGAGATTTTTGTCATCGGGCGCATACACTCGCTGGAGAGACAGCAATGAAAAGCAAGAAATCACCCCCCAGTGGGGATGGCCATGCTGCAGTCCCTATTCTCCCATTCTCCTCTTCAGACTTGGGGCGCGCACGCACACATGCCTGGTGTGAGTCTTGAGTCGCCGAGTCTGGGACTTGAACTTCAGTCAGCTCCGTGGGAGTCCAGCCATGTAATCATTTTGCCGTCTGCTGGAAAGTCTTTTAAACAAAGCGAGTGTAGACAGTCCCTGTTACAGTAGCTCCTTGTCAGACTCGGGCCTCACTGCGGTGCGGAAGTAACACACATTCGGTAGAGACCGACTTTGAAGTCTGCACTGGATCCTTGGTACACGGTGTTGGGTGGCTCACCCAGTCTCGGCTCACCCAAGTGCTCTGACCGCACCTAAGACGGGCTGGGCTGAGTGACAGTGTCCGGGAGGCCAGGGGTCAGGGCTTCACGGCTCGAGGTGTTCCCTTGTGCATCAGGCTTCCGGGGAGGCGGCCCCAAGAGGCGAGGAGCTTCCTCAGCCCTGGCTGCGGGCAGCTCAGGTTCAGAAGACCATTGTCTGGCCTGGCCCTGGCCCTGGCCCTGGCCCTGGTGTTCAGGCTGGGAGAGGTGACACGACCATTGTGTCTGGACTGCAGAAGGCACAGCAGGGGCCCCGGAGCGTCCCCTTCTCCCACCTACTCAGCAGATGCCTACTGGCCAGCACCCTTGGGCGCCAGGCCAGTCCTGGGCTCTCGGGATGCCCCGGCCAGTGAGCAAAGACACCCACTCCCTGGGGCCACGTGTCAGTGGGGCTTGTCCTGAGTGTCTTGTAGGTGAGCAAGATGCTGTGCGGGAAAGAGCCTGGGTGGGACGGTCCGTGGCCCCGACCTCAGCCCCAGCGTCCCACCTACAGGCAGCCACTGTGTGTCCTTCCACATAGCTCTGGGTACAGACAAGCGGGGCTGTCATCTTACAGAGAGGGTGGCATTTGGGACTCTTACTGTCTTATTTATTCTGTGTCTCGAGAGAACAATATATGAAAAACTGCCGGGCCAGTAGGTGGCATGGTGGTTAAGGCTCTCGACTCCCACGTGGCCAACCATGGTTAGAATCCTGGACCTGGCGGCTTGCTTTCTAGCTTTCTCTCGCTCTCTCTCTGTCCCCCTCTGGTCAAATTAAAAAGATACATAATAATAACACAATTAATTAAATCTTGTTTTTTTTTTTTTTGCTATAGGGCACGTGCGCTCGCCAGACAGAGAGACAAAAAGTGAGAAATCACCCCCCAGGGGGGATAGTCATGCCACAATCCCTTCTCCTTCATTCTCCTCTCCGGATCTTGGGCACGCACGCACACGCACCCGGTGTGAGTTTTAAGCCACCAGGTCCGGGACGTGAACCGCGGTCGCCTACATGGGAGTCCAGCGACTTAGCCATTATGCTAACTGCTGGTTCCCAAAATTAATTAAATCTTAAGAAAAAAGGAAAAGCTACCTCATTTGGGCCATCTGGGGACGTGGAGGTTGAAGCAGCTGGATCCCACATGTCTGACACTGGTTTGAGTCCCAGATCCAGCAGCTTGAAAAACATGCCAGATGCACGTGTGTACATGCCCAAAATCCTGAGAGGAGAGTGGGGCGAAGGGGTTGTGGTATGGCCATCCCCCAGGAGGGTGCTTTCCCCCTCCCTTTCTCTGACTCCGGTGAACATGTGTGCTCTATAGCAAAATCTAAAAAGAAAAAATGTCGAGATTTTGGATCTCAGATTTCAGCTTGTTGGATAGTCAGCCCGCACAGCTCCCAGCACCCTCCAGCCCTGGTTTTCCGGACGCGCTTTTCAAGCACGCGTGTGTTGTTGGTGTGGCCCTTTCGTGGGCTGCAGCGGCCCCTCCTTCACTCTGGGCTCTGGGGTGAGGGCAGTCAGCCGGAACCCAGGCCTCATTTCTGGTGTTGGCGGCGCCGCCATTTCTGGTGTTGGCGGCCCCGCCCTGCCGGGTGTGGCCAGGCCTCCTCCGCTGCCCCCTGGAGTGGCCGTATGGCTGTTGCCCCAACAGAGCAACCCTGGGGACCTGCCTGGCTGAGCCAAAGCCTGTCCCCACAGGGTCGTCTCCTACCAGATCCGGTACGAGGGAAACGTGACCGAGGAGACCAGAGTCAAGTTCATGACGGACGGTGTACTGCTCAAGGAGATCCAGAGGGTCGGTCTCATCCCTGCTCCCACGGCGAGGCCGGGCTGGGGTGGGGACGGGAATATCGCTATGACACGAGTGGCCGGTCTGCCGGCCTTGGCAGAGCAGCACGGACCGCCCGACCGCGCTGTGACTTCATCAAGTTGGTGACCCTCTCTGAGCCTCTTTCTGGACCAGCACACGGGCCCTTCTTTAGAACCATCATGAGCTGTCCATTGCACAAGGAAGGCCTCGCCTGGGGCCTGTGCCCGGTCGGTGCCCCTTCCACGTGGCACGGGTCCTCCCTGATCGGGCTCCATTCCACGTGGCACGCGTCCTCACTGATCGGGCTCCGTGTAGCACACAAGCCCTCACTGATCGGGCTCTACTCCACATAGCACAAGTCCCCATTGATCAGGCTCTACTCCACATGGTCCAAGCCCTCACCGATCTGGCTCCGTGTAGCACAAGCCCTCCCTGATCGGACTCCACTCCACGTAGCACAAGCCCCCATTGATCAGGCTCCATATAGCACAAACCTTCACTGATCGGACTCCATGTAGCACAAGCCCTCCCTGATCAGGCTCCCCGAGTTTGCACACCCCGAGTGTTGGCTGGACATTTAGGTGCCAGGCACTGCTGTGCAGGTTGGAGAGCGAGTTCTCCCCTCAGGTGTCCTGGGCTCATTGCGTGCCCTGACTCTGACTGGGGACTTGGCCTCACACAGAGGACTGAGAAAGGTCTCCAGCCTGGTCTGGGCTGGTGGTGGGCCATACTGTCCCCCTGCAGCCTGCTGCAGGATGTTCACTGGGTGGCTCGGGGCGCTCAGCCTCCACCTCCTCTGCCTGCCCACTCGGCCCCGGGAGCTTCCTGGGGAGTTGGCATGTTTTGGCAGCTCGGCTGGGCATTGGCAGGTGGCAGGCCTGTCCCTGGAGGGCCTTGAGGGCCACTGTCTAGGGGAAGCTCCGCTTCCAGCTGGCTAGGGGATGTCTGGAGAGGAGCAGTCAGGTGCAAGAGCATCTCCAGCCTCGAGGGTGCTGGGCCCCTGGGGTGGCCATGGACATGGCTGCGTCTGGAGGGCCCGGTTTAGAGTGGAGCCACTTCCTGGCTAGACGCCCAGCCCAAAACCAGCCCAGCCCCAGGGCCCGCTCAGCCAAGGGCTAGGCCAGCCCGAGGTGCCCCCTAGCTTACAGCTGCCACTCTCTAGCCCCTTCTCTGCCAGGGCCCAGGCCTGTGCTCTGTACTTCACAGGCACTAACTGCCCTTGGACCAGGAGACATCACTTGCCCAAGGTTGTAGGGCCGAGACCGCCCCTGGGCCGAGTGCCAGCTCTCAAGGCCCTGACCTTGGCGACTGTGGGCATGGAGTGATTGGTGGGGAGCCTGGGGCCGGCTGACCCTGCGGACCCCTCCCCAGGACTTCCTACTGCTCAAGTACAAGGTGGTGATCATCGACGAAGCCCACGAGCGGAGCGTGTACACCGACATCCTCATCGGCCTCCTGTCCCGCATCGTGACTCTCCGGGCAAAGGTAGCCAGGAGGCAGGGAGGCTGGGGCGTCCCTGGGTCCCCAGGCCAAGACTTGGAGGCACTGCCTGGGCGAGGCGG